CACAGTTGAGGTGCAGCTGCTCTGATGGCTACAGTTAGCAAAGGCTAAGCTAAACTATTAGTAATATATTCTCATTGATATTGTAATACTTTGCAGTATAATATAGTCCTGTACACTGCAAATGGAATTTGATCAAACTCAATTAATTTTAACAAAACAATCAGGTGATGGAACAGAAATCCAAGTTCAATGAAATTCAATTTCAGAGCTTGATGCATGACTAGAAATGTCAATTAGTGCAAAAAAAATAAAAATAAATGCAGGGTTATCTGACAAAAACCTGGCTCAACTTTTGTAATTTTAGCTGCAACGCAATCTGCTGTCATCCAGTAAAGTGTCTTGGGCAATCAAATTTGTGCAGATGACATCCCTGGCAGATTACTTTGTATCATCAAAACAATATTTCTGTTGTTAAACTGGTGCTCATGGGGACAGGATAAACTGATCATCACTCCTACGACTTTCCAGACTGCCTTCCAGAACTAAGGCGTATCTGACACCCCTATCAGCAGGATTCCCACGTCATTACAGACCTTTGTTACTTCAACCTTGACGTAATGGTTGGACTTTTTTCTTGGGAGAACAGTCTCAAAATCTTGATGTTTTTTGCAGTGTTTTGTTGTCTGATAAACATTCCAACTCCTGGATCTATCACTCAAACCGAGTAAAGAGATGGCAGAAGTAATCCACAGTCTGACTTAGACAAATAAAGTGTCTGTTTCCCAAATTAATATAAAAGAACTAGTTTTGACCTCATAGCATCTTCATCAGACCAGAAATAGAAAATACACACGGATTAAACCTAAACCTGGTTAGACAACACACGTTATTCCACCACATAATTAAATGACTAACAAAGAAAGCAACAAGTACACTGTCACAATGACATCAAGATACTAATATCATAGAAAAACAATAACCGTAGCAACCATATCACACAGTATGATGTTGTCTCATCAAAAGCTACAATTAAGAATGTTGGGCTTTTGATTTGTGTCTTTGTTCAGAATCTGATAGCAAGGCACTGTTTTAGCTCATGACGCCACTAACCTTGAACAAACAGGGACTTTGTTCCTTCTTGTCAGAGAGAATGGAAAGTAAAATCAAGGTTTCACTTTAAAGATGAAGAGTTTACGTCTCAGCTGTCTGGAATTTTGTGGTAGTAAATACCCGGTCGGGCTCAGCCCGAATAAACAGCATGGAGCAGCCCACCCTGTGGACCCACCACCCGCAGGGACAAGCATCGGGGTCGGGTGCAATGCAGACCGGGCGGCGGGTCAGGCGGGAGGCCTGGGCATGCCGATCGCCGGCGGCATAGACTAGCTCTAGGGACGTGGAACGTCACCTCGCCAGCGGGGAAAGAGCCAGAGCTGGTGCAGGAGGTGGAGCAATACCAGCTAGATATAGTTGGACTCACCTCCACACACAGCGCTGGCTCTGGAACCAAGCTCCTGGAGAGAGGTTGGACTTTGTCCTTTTCCAGAGTTGCCCAGGGTGAGAGGCGCCGGGCGGGAGTGGGGATACTCACGAGCCCCCGGCTGAGCGCCGCTGTATTGGAGTTCTCCCCGGAGAATGAGAGGGTCGCCTCCATGCGCCTACGGGTTGCGGGGAGCAAGGCTCTGACTGTGGTTTGTGCTTACGCACCAAACAGCAGTTCAGAGTATCCGGCCTTCTTGGAGTCGGTGGGAGGGGTCCTGGAAAGGGCGCCACCTACCGACTCCATAGTTCTCCTGGGGGACTTCAATGCTCACGTGGGCAATGACGGAGAAACCTGGCGGGGGGTGATTGGGAGGAACGGCTTGCCCGATCTGAACCCAAATGGTGTCTCGTTATTGGACTTCTGTGCTTGCCATGGTTTGGCCATAACGAACACCATGTTCAAACATAAGGTGGCTCATAAGTGTACCTGGTACCAGAACACCTTAGGCCGGAGATCAATGATCGAATTTGTAATCGTATCATTTGATTTGCAGCCATATGTCTTGGACACTCGGGTGAAGAGAGGAGCAGAGCTGTCAACTGATCACCACCTGCTTGTGAGTTGGATCAGATGGCAGGGGAACCGGTTGGAAAGACCCGGCAAGCCCAAACGTGTAGTGAGGGTGAACTGGGAACGTCTGGCGGAGGACCCTGTCCGGGAGGTCTTTAACTCCCACCTCCGGAAGAACTTCTCTCACATCCCGAGGGAGGTTGGGGACATGGAATCCGAATGGACCATGTTCAAAGCCTCTATTGTGGACGCGGCCGCTAGGAGCTGTGGCCAGAAGGTCATCGGTGCCTGTCGTGGCTGCAACCCGAGAACCCGGAGGTCAGGGAAGCCGTCAAGCTGAAGAAGGAGACCTTCAAGGCCTGGTTGGCCCAGGGGTCTCCCGAAGCAGCTGACAGGTACCGGCAGGCCAGAAGGGCTGCAGCTGCGGTGGTCGCGAATGCTAAAACTCGGGCATGGGACGAGTTCAGGGAGGCCATGGAGAAGGACTTTCGGTTGGCCTCAAGGAGGTTCTGGCAAACTATCCGACGGCTCAGGAAGGGAAAGCAGGGCTTACCCCAGGCTGTTCTCAGCAGGGGGGGGGAACTGCTGACCCGGACAGGGGACATCGTCGGGCGGTGGAAAGAGCACTTTGAGGAACTCCTAAACCCGACCAACATGTCCTCTGCAGAGGAGGCAGTGCCTGAAGATCTAGGGGGAGGCTCACCCATATCCCTGGCAGAGGCCGCTGAGGTAGTCAAAAAGCTCCTTGGTGGCAAGGCGCCGGGGGTGAATGAGATCCGCCCTGAGATTCTGAAAGCGCTGGACATAGTTGGGCTGTCCTGGCTGACACGCCTCTTCAATGTCGCATGGGGGTCGGGATCAGTGCCCATGGACTGGCAGACCGGGGTGGTGGTTCCCATTTTCAAAAAGGGGGACCGGAGAGTGTGCTCGAATTACCGGGGTATCGCACTACTCAGCCTCCCGGGGAAGGCTTATGCCAGGGTGCTGGAAAGGAGGCTCCGACCGTTTGTCGAACCTCAGATACAAGAGGAGCAATGCGGATTCCGTCCCGGCCGTGGAACAGTGGACCAGCTCTTTACCCTCGCAAGACTACTGGAGGGGTTCTGGGAGTTTGCCCAACCAGTCTACATGTGCTTTGTGGACTTGGAGAAGGCTTTCGACCGGGTCCCTCTGGGGTTCTTGTGGGGGGTGCTGCGGGAGTATGGGGTGCCGGACCCATTACAACGGGCGATCCGGTCTCTGTACGACTGCAGTAGGAGCTGTGTCCGCATTCTCGGCAATAAGTCAGATACGTTCCCGGTGGGTGTTGGCCTCCACCAGGGCTGCCCTTTGTCTCCGGTCCTGTTCGTGACTTTCACGGACAGGATATCTAGGCGCAGCCTGGGGGTGGAGAATGTCAGGTTCGGGGGTCTCGGGATCGCCTCTCTGCTGTTTGCAGATGATGTGGTCCTGTTAGCCTCCTCAGATCGTGACCTCCAGCATTCACTGGGGTGGTTTGCAGCCGAGTGTGAAGTGGCGGGGATGAGAGTTAGCACCTCCAAATCTGAGGCCATGGTGCTCTGCCGGAAACCAGTGGATTGCTCCCTCCAGGTGGGGACAGAGTGCCTACCTCAAGCAAAGGAGTTCAAGTATCTTGGGGTCTTGTTCACGAGTGAGGGTAAGATGGAGCGGGAGATCGACAGACGGATCGGTGTGGCTGCAGCAGTAAAGCAGGCGCTGCACCGGACCGTCTTGGTGAAGAGGGAGCTGAGCCGGAAGGCAAAGCTCTCAATTTACCACTCAGTCTACGTTCCTACCCTCACCTATGGTCACAAACTCTGGGTCGTGACCGAAAGGACAAGGTCGCGGCTACAAGCGGCCAAAATGAGCTTCCTCCGTAGGGTGGCCGGGCTCAGCCTTAAAGATAGGGTAAGGAGCTCGGTCATCAGGAGGGCGCTTGGAGTCGAGCCGCTACTCCTTCGCGTCGAAAGAAGTCAGCTGAGGTGGTTCGGGCATCTAATTAGGATGCCTCCTGGACGCCTCCCACTGGAGGTTTTCCAGGCATGTCCAACTGGGAAGAGACCCCGGGGAAGACCCAGAACACGCTGGAGGGATTACATCTCCCAGCTGGCCTGGGAACGCCTCGGGATCCCCCAGAATGAGCTGGAACATGTTGCCGGTGAGAGGGAAGTCTGGGTCAGCCTGCTTGGCCTGTTGCCACCGCGACCCGACCCCGGATAAGCGGAGGAAAATGGATGGATGGATGGATGGATAAATAAAAGCGATCCGTCTGACTTTTATTGTGAAGTCAAAGTAGTGTAAAATACTGTAGATGAATGAAATGACTGACATGGTGTATGTGGTGACTTGTGAAAGGACAGTTCTGAATCACTGGCTGCAGTTATTTGGGAAATAAGTCAAACTGTCAAGAAACCTACATGCAACTGTCATAAAGAAATGTCTTCTCGTAAATGATTTATAATTAAAATATTGATTGTAAACTATGAAGGCTATTGTAATGTAACATATCAACTGGTTGGTCTCGAAAGTTGAAACATTATTGCAACATTCTGATAATGTATTTATCACATTGGAAACACATGGTGACAATGACTTGAATGAACTCTTAACACTTGGATGAACTTTAACTTCTGAAGCCTCACTGATTGTGCTGCTGGGTCAAAGTACAAACTCAGACATTCTGCAGACAAATCTTGGGAGATAGGGGAAGATGGGAAAATTTCGAGGAGAGCCCTGTTTCCAAAGATAGCAATTTATTTTCCGAATACCAACATTTCGGGGAAATGTGTATAAAATGATGCACGATACTTCCATTTGATGATGGTGCAGCCATAAAAAACATCCCGTTTTGGGTTTGAATATTTCCCTCGGTGTAAACATTTGATAGTTTCAATTAAGAGCAAGCTGATAAATATGATACCATTAAACAGTCTCATAAAATTATTTGAATAGCCTTTAAGAGCAGACAGAAGCATTATATGGACACACCTGCTGTCTTTGCACCCTACAGTCTCCATTCCCCCCCGTTCCCGCCAGCCGCCGGACACCAACGGTCCCCGATCGCTCGTCTAACCTCCTTTCTACAACCCTCCTTGTTTCTTCTTCCTTACATCCCTTCATTTCTTCATCCCTATCCTCGACCCGTACCCTATATCCCTCTACCTTGACCCCTACATCCGTTCATCCCTCTACCTCTACTCTACATCCTTCATCTCTCTACCCCTACCCTACATCCCTTCATCCCTATACCCCTACCCTACATCCCTTCATCCCTCGACCCGGTCCGCTTCCTAAATCTAACAATCATTCCATTATGCAATAAACCTCTCGAAACTCATACTGTTATTGGCGTGGTCCTTGTTGGTGAATTGCTATTAGAATGATTATCTTTACTACAAACAAGATAAATGTCTTAAAATAATTATATTATGTTTAGATGGAAAACGGGATGGAAAAAGCTAAAATATCTAAATAACTTTTGGGTGGATCGCCATTCAATTTTGTACAGTCATGGTCCCCAGAGGTGGAACCCTACTGACTTTGACGATTTCCTGACTTTGTGTTACACACATTCATGTTCCACTCAGGTAGAATTTCTTTTTTTCCACTTTTTATCCAGTGCCATCTGTCAAAATTGTAATTTGTTTATGACCAAATACATGTAACACACAAGCTGCAAGAAGTACACTGCCCCTCTGAACTTACTGATACTTTGTATCACATAAGCAGTTATCTAACATCCCATTCGCTGCTTCAGGCTTCTTTCTGGCTCCAAGTCGAAGGGTTCTTTGAGCTGAGCAGACTAGAAATATCTCCCGTTGCCAAGTCGTATCTAAGGTTCGGCCCTTTTACAGGAGTAGCGAACAACGTTTCCATTGCAAAATAACCTAATGATTGTTAGCAAACTCTCTTTAAAAAGGGAAACAGAGTCATGGCTTGTGAAAAACTTAAGATTTTGATTGAACGCATAAAGTTGATAAGACCTGTTGCTGTTGTTTTACACATCCAGCAGACACTAGCATTATATAGTGTCATGTTGGTAATGATCCTTCCGCAGGTTCACCTACGGAAACCTTGTTACCTGTTGAATATAAGTCCAATATTCACTCTCTTTTAGCTCTGTTTTTGGTCTCCACCATCTCCGTCCCTTTAGCAGCTAAATACTCCCTTATATTCCACCAGCTGGTCTCTAACTTTGTCTGTCTGCTGTCTGCTGCCGAGCATGTAGTGTACAGTGGGTTTATCAGAGCTTTCAAGCTTTTTGTTGTGGTCTGTAAAACCAAAACAACAAGCTAAAAGAGGCTAAATGGCACCATAGGGTTGAGGGGAACTGCAGAGTTGGAGATGATTCTCTGTGGGTTCGTCACTATGAACAATAACATTACCATGCCATTACCATTTGTCTGTTGAAATTAAAAAAGTGACAGCTTTAAATAACTTTAGTAAGTAGATTAAAGTAAATTAAAGTGATACAAGTGAATTACAGCCTGCTTAACTGCTCAAATAATAGTCCATTTAGATGCAACTCATTTTCTGATCTAGGTCAAAAATAAATTGCAACAACCAAGCATTGAGTTTGATAAGATCGCTGCTCTTTCCTCTGCTGGCTTGTTGTGTGAGGCAGCGTCATTCTGTCCATCTGTATGTCTGTCTGTCCTAAGTTAGACAGGAAGAGGCAGAATTCTTTAGCTTCTGGCAGTGTGGTAACTTCATGTTTCTGCAGCTGCGGTGAACCCCACACTGTTCACATATTCTCCGTCTTGACATCATCACAGATTTACCAATTCTCTCTTGCTGGTGTGCGGCAGATGGTATCTTGCGCACCTTGAATGACCACATTTTTTAAATGATTGCTTAACTAAACAGGCACTGGCGAAAGGCCAGGCAAAAACCAACGTTGTGGAAGAGGCACGAGAAGGCTGGCAGCTTTTGGTTTGAATGAATCTTTCTTGGAAGTCAGACAGAAACCAGTGCTGGAGTCTGGAGTCACTACAAGTCAAACAGGGACAAAATGTAGTCCACATGTTTAAAAAGGTGACAAAATACACGTGTGTGTGTGTGTATACACAAGGGTAAGAGTCCTGCCTCCTGGTGCAGGACACACCTATATGAAGTGCATGACGCACTAGCATTACAGCAGCACTGTGCTCTCACACATGTTCAGTTACTGTCGAGAGAGAGAGAGAGCGAGAGAGCGAGAGAGAGTAGTCAGACAGCTCTGGTTTGACAGTTAATCGGCAAACATGTCAGAGAAGCTGAAGGGCAACATTTTAGTGACCGGGGCCAACAGAGGCATTGGTTTGGAGCTGGTCAAACAGCTGGCAGAGAGGAGGACAGGAGAGGAGGCTCACATCTATGCCTGCTGCAGAGCGCCTGAGGGAAGCGGGGCTGAGGTGAGACATTTACATATAAAAGCTTGTCGTAGTGCTCGGATTGACTGTTAACACACACAGACACACACACACACACACACGCTGCTACTAACAGCAGAGCATTGGAATTGATTTATAGCTTCTCCTTGAGGTATTGACCCTGGACCCACACAGACGAAAATTACTTTTTAATACGCCCAATTATTTAATAACCATAATCTATCTCTATGGTGTTGAAGGGATTGTTGATCAATAGGAATGACTCAACTTGGAAAAACAACTTATCCAAGTGGTAAGACACTTTTATCCCAAAATATTGTGTCAAAGTTTCTCAAAGATCGAAAGTTGTATCCCGTAAAATTCTACTTATACACAAAGTTCTGTTTGTTTCACCAAATATTGAAGGCTGTATGATGCTTACCCTGAGAGGTATATTGACTTTGTTTGATCAATGTGTTTGTTTTCAGCTGCATCTTATGTCAATCTTATGTTATAATCATTATTTACAAACTGTACCAATAATTACCCTGGGAACCCTCTCTCCACAGAATTCCGTTTCTATACTACTACATGATTTTACTTGGAGGTTTTGGGGACAAAGTTAGTTCTATGTGGCTTGTGATCAGGGGCAATGTTTTTGTCCACAACGTGGTTGCATTGTTCAGCTGCACAGAGGTTGTAGGGAGGGGTTCGGGGTTAAAACACACTGGTTTGGTTAATAATTGACAAAGTAAGCAGGCTCTAACTCATTCTTCAAGACACTGTTGACTTTCATTTTTTTGAACCAAGTGCTTTGAATCAATAACCACAAAAGTTTTGTTAGGTTTAGGGAATCATCATGATTAATAAGTACTTTGTTAAGGTTACAGAAACATTGCTTTGGAGCTGAAGTGACTGATGCTGTCGTTGGGATAACAAATGAAGTTCACCGTCAGTCATTTTGTTGATACATCCAGTACGAACACTTGGTTTACATAAAGATAATCTTTAGGAGACTGAAGATTGGATGCACACTGATAATTCAAATATATGGTTGAATGCTTAAATGATCAACAGGAAAGTGCTTTGAACAAAGTGCTGAATTGGTTATAAATGTTAACTTTCATATAACATACTGAAAGCATGGTGTTTGGGTCAATACATCTGTTAAAAGCAGAGCCAGATCTGAATCTCCTGATTGTCCCTGTTGAGCAACTCAAGAGACTAAACTTGTGGGTGTAACCTTGGATGGTTTTACAGTTCAAGCATATTAAAAACTGTGAGAAACAATGCAAGAGGTCCCTCAGTGACCCCCAACAACTTGACACGTTTTCACACAGAGGAGGAAAGAGCAGGCCTGCTAGAATATTGTATCCAACTAAAAGTGCTGTTACATAAAATTTTTCTCAAGTAAAAGTGAAAAAATACTTAAATAAAAGTAAAAAGTAGATCAGTCAAATTGTACTCTGAGAAACCGCGTTTTATTTTTAAAAATGAATTTGCATTCTTTCCAATGGCCATCAGGGGCCAACTCCTCTGGTTGCAAAGAGAAGTGTGATTGTATAGAACAGTGGCGGGCCGTGCATTTTATACCTGGGCCTTCAGTGCTGTCCTACTACAGTTGAATCACCTCATATTAACCTCATGATGATGTTACAGGTTATTATTTGTTTCTAGGGGTGTAACAATACACGTATTCCTATTAAACCGTTCGGTACGAGGCTTACGAACCGAACGATACATTTGAATAATACTAGTGCATTTGGAAAATGCAGAAGCTTAAATTGTGGGAAATATAATGTTCTTTCGGCTCAACCTGGCAACCCACCCAACGTGCTGTCTGACACGCCCACCACGGAAGAAAAACATTGTACTCTGCTGAGGCGCGTGTGTGTTCTGGGAGTCTATGCTAAACTAGCTTAGCAGGAAAACAACAGCAGCACACATGCTACAAACTCTCCCCAGGCATTTAAGCAGCTGTTCCCTACTGATTCAAACAGGGCTAAAGCAATCAGCACACAATCCCCATTTCTCCAGACCATAATTCTTGCTTTGTAAAAGAAAACAGATACATGAATACACGCATGACGGGATGCTGCGTCATTAACGGACAATGCATATTGTCAAAATCAATGTAATTAACACAATGACCACAGAAAAACTCACAAGAACCAGTCACATATATTTATATGACAACAAAGCAACAAATCAATCCAGCAAAACGGTGGTGCTAAAACATGCATTCCACCACACACTGAAGAGCACGAGCCATTCAAATATTATTACATCAGAGGGAACAATATTAACCATATCATAAAAACGACACGACAGACAAATGAACAGAGTAGTAACGCTACTGCAGATGTAGAAACAAAGCAGTTCACTTACCAAAGCTGCTGTTCACTTAAAGACAAGGTCCATCCTCCTTTCTTTGATTACAAAGAGTTTAATGACGCGGTTGTACAGAACTTCAGTGCGGTTCAGTTCCAGTCAGAGGTCCTCCTGTGAACGTGTTCGTTGAGTTGTAGATCCACTCGGGTCTCTCCAAAGGTTTTCAAAAGCACCGTAGCTTGTGAGTGTCCTGTCGTGCTGTGGTGTCTTGTTGCTTCCTTGGTAGCAAATCTAGCGTAGCTCCAAACACCGAGACACTCAGTCGCAAATGAAACGCATTCTTAGCCATAAAATGTGCAACGCTTCTCCAACACTGTCAGCCAGGAATACCGTTCGTACAAATCCTTCTCCTGGCTGGGTCAGAGCTGCTAGCTGTCGGTTGGCCGACCCTTTGATACGATATCCGGCTTTTCTGGAAATGTCCTTCTCCAGAAAGGCGTTGCCAGTAACTCCCAAATCCGTTTATCCTCCTCCTTCAGCCATTGAGTGTTAAAAAAACAAAGCTACACCAAGCAAAACGCTAAAAATGTCATGTCAATGTCATAACTTCTTACATATCTTTCAACTTGAACTCTTACTGCTACTAACTTCTATAAGCTAGCTTCAGCTTCACAACAGTGACGCCAGCCTACGACCAATCACACCGCACGTTAATGCTGACGTACTTGTAGGCCGCCTAGACAGCTCTGACATGTCAAAGAATACGCCCAACATGTCAAACTAAAGATCTGATTGGTTGAAGACTATGACAATCAACAATATCGTCCCCATTCACTTAAACTGCACATGGATTCACTTGTGAGTCTGCAGGCCTCGGGCCTCTGTTCTTACCTAGAGACACAGAGGTGAAATCTGATTGGATAAAAGCTCTACTTAAAACAAGCTGCACTGGAAGCAGAGCAACTGAGGAAGACAGTAGCTGTGCAATGAGAAAATAAGATAATGGGAAAACTATTTTTATAAATTATAATACATGTAGTGTATTTAAGAAAAATTATTAAATTATAAAATAGATATAACTTTGATTCTGTTTAGGCCAGCAGAGAAGACTTTGCTGGCCCTGACGGCCCGCCACTGTCACACGAAGTCTGTGAGAAAATGACTCTACTTCTCTTTTGATTTATTACCTCAGTAAACATTGTAAACATGAGTTTATGGTCTCAATCTCTAGTTTCAAGTCTTCTTTAATTCGGCATGCTGTTCATTTAGTAAATTATGGTCCATTTACAATAAAATAAAGAGCATTCGTCTTATAACTTCCGTTCACGAATGTTGATTGTAACCGTTTTGGTCGCCTCAAATGCCTTATTTAAAGTTCGGTTGTACTTAGTTCTTCCTTCTCGTGTCTATTGGTTCCAAAACACCAAGATGGCGGTGGCTAAAATCCAAGATGGAGACTGCTAAAATGCCAACCTCGAGGCTTCTGTACACAAACATAATACATTGAACATTTCTTGTTTCTCCCTAAAACATATTGTGCACCTCTCTTTGTGTATTGCAGTGTTATTGACACCAATTGTTTATGTAGAATAGTGCAGTGGCGGGCCGTGCATTTTATACCTGGGCCTTCACTGCTGTCCTGCAGCTGAAACACAGCTACGGTTATTATTTGTTTCATGTAAAATTGAAGCCAACACCTCTCTGCAGAGAATACGCCGGGAGTGCATCTCCTCTCTGCTCTGACTGCAGCTGGGACTGCTGCGCGAGGGAGTGCTTTGGGGCGGCGGAGGGGCAGCACCCGCTGCTCGTTCACGACAGTAACTGTAGAACGGTGTCCTTTAATGTCACAAAAGTCTCCAATAACACCAGAACAAGTCGCTAGATTTGTCACTCGTAGCTTTTGACAAAAAAAGTCGCCATGAGGGTTTAGAAAGTCGCCAGATTTAGCGAGAAGGTTGCCAGGTTGCCAACACTGGCACTGGCTAAATATGTCCCCAGAGCAACATTGGACGTAACAATGGTTCCTATCACATATAAAACCAAACAATAATCTAACTTCATAAAAACAAGTTGTACAAATAATAATATACAAACAAGCATATTAAAGCTACTGCAGATGTAAAAACAAACGCATTTAACTTACCAGAGCTGCTGTTCACTATTTAGCTGCCGTTCCTCCTTTCTTTGTTAAAGAGTTTAATCTCATGGTTGTTCAGTACATCCGTGTGTTTTAGTTCCAGTAAGAAGTCCTTCTCGATTCATGGACGCCAGTGAAAACAGTCGAGCCTCCCCAGTTGTATTTCTTGAATAGGTTTTAATGCGTTTGAGGTCTGAAAATGTCTGCTCAACAGAGGCAGCAGATTTTGGGATTGTCACCGCCCAACATGTCAGGCTAGCCCACTGACCAATCACGTACTTGTAGGCCAGCTAGCAGGCTCTGGCACGTCAAAGAATACGCCCAACATGTCAAACTAAAGATCTGATTGGTTGAACACTATGACAATCAACAATATCGTCCCCATTCACTTAAACTGCAAAGGGATTCACTTGTGAGTCTGCAGGTCTCGGGCCTCTCTTCTTACCTAGAGACACAGAGGTGAAATCTGATTGGATAAAAGCTCTACTTAAAACAAGCTGCACTGGAAGCAGAGCAACTGAGGAAGACAGGAGCTGTGCAATGAGAAAATAAGATAATGGGAAAAATGTTTTTCTAAATTATAATACATGTAGTGTATTTAAGAAAAATTATAAAATAGATATAAATTTGTGATTCTGTTTAGGCCAGCAGAGAAGGCCTTGCAGGCCCTGATGGCCCGCCACTGGAATAGTGTGACTCCATTGGCAGGAATGTGGCAGAGCAGCAAATACAAACAAGAGAGACTCCCACTCACCAAACATTGCTCCATAGCGCCACTAGTGGTCAAAAGATCCACAGCTTGCATATAAAAAACATGGACTTAAATTATATGTATTATACAATTTTCTACTGTAATATGTGTATTTGTATACATGTTATATGTATTATATATAATTGTTTGTGTAGTATGTATTCTGTGTATAGCCATATGTTTCTTGTCTGCAACTCAGAATCAGCTTTATTGGCCATGTACGCATACGCATACAAGGAATTTGACTCCTCGTTGCTCTCGACGTACATACACAGAATTTGCAAATAAACAGGAACATTTTTTTAAATATATATAAAAAAAAACAAGGACATCAAAAAAAGAAAAGAAAGTAGAACAGAGGTAAGCATAAACATTTAACGACTATGTACAATTGACAGTGTCAATGGAATTAAGGTGGTAGTGCAGAATGGAGGTAATAGTGCAGTATGAGTGCAGAGTATCATTGCTTGCATTATATTAGTATATTCTAAAAAAAAATGCAAAAGGAAATGTCTTATGTTTTCATCCGAGACCAAGTCATTATCAATTGTATGTTTGGGCTACTTGCTCTCTTTGTCTGTCTCTGCCAATCTCGCCTTTTCATCTATCTTTCATTCTTCATGTCTCCCTCCATATATGTGTTCCCTTCAGGCCCTGAGAGACCTCACAACTCAATATCCTGGAAAGATCTCTATAATCCAACTAGGTAAACACAACACATGCTCATATATCTGTGTACATGCACAGAGTTGATATATTACAAAGCCCAGGAGGTGACATTGAGAAGGAAAAACTGAGGAAAACTTTCCCTTGTGTAATTTCATTATAACTTTAGCAGCCCAGTGTTCAGGAAGAAATTTCTGCAAACCAGGGATAGGTTATATTTCTTGCAGTCAGTCACAGCAAGTGACGTAGTAAATCGAGCAAACATTGGTAAAAGTTACCTGGTATGAAGATTGGGTGGTATAATGACGAGTATAACATTCCAGAATGTCCACTATCTCTGGGCAGGTCAACCAAACACCGGACTTTCATCCAAGGCATCGCAGTTTGTGTCCAGTAAGAAACCAAAAACATCAACGCTTGCATATGAAAGTTAGCTACGGATGGCTGTTATTTAACTAAGGTTGATATTTAATGTTGTTACGTTATAACACAAACCATGATATTTTTTCAAACTTTAACCAAGTAGTTTTTTTGTCTAAACCTAACCAATCGTTATGCAACATTAACAGTGTGGCATTATACTTTTCTGCTAGCACGATACGGGGCTGAAATGAAATTAAACAGATTTTGGGTTCAGAAACGTTGACATTTAAGTATACCGTGGTTTGCAGAGATGTACTATGCCAACATTTTTTCTGGTAGGTAGTTGCCGTTACCAAAGGGGACAAATCCTGTGAATATTTTACTTCCCGCGCTCATTGCCTACAAAGTGTTTCAAAGAAGTTGATTTGTACAGTCAGATTTCAGTTTGTCTTGAATGCGTCTTGGCTGCATTTACACTTAGCTTTTCGATAAGATATGTATGCAGTTCACCCAAAACACATGAAGTGACTAAGGCCCTACTATCTGATTTCAAAATATAAGTGTAAATGAATCCAAGAATCATTTTGCGACAAATGGGGGTCCATCAAGGCAGCAGAGAAACATGAAGCATAGAATACAAAAACAGTTATGTACTGTTGTTGCTAATTCAGTTAGACAGTCGTACCAAATGCAGTTCAATTAAAGCAGTTATATGGACATAAAAGTCCACACTTCTGCAGCACACCCTCTGAATTGCCAAGCCTGTGTTTACCCAGCATATCAGCACATCCACCTTTTGTAAACTAGCCTATGCGACTGCATGACTCAACCAACCAAAGCTGGGCCTCGTGCAAGAACATTTGTGAATCATTATCCTAAACCTCTTACTTTTTCTGTGAGGCTTTGGTGAATCCAACTTCACCAAACTTGTTGCAAATCCCTAATTTCAACTTCACCTGTTCATCAAGAGGTGCGCCTCGGTGAGATTTCTTCATTAGCATAATTGTTGATCCTGTTTAAATGGTGCCATGAATAGGATGTTTGTCAATTTAAAATATAATGTTGCAAGTCAAGAAAGTCGCAAGAGTGTCATAGATTTTTGGTAGTAGCATTTAGTTTTGTGTGAAACCGATCATTGAAGAGTGAACTACATATCTTGCACCAGCACGGCCATTGCCTTGGCTTGCTAGCTCACTTGCTTAAGTAAGCTATATCCATGCACAAATATAACGTTATCGTACCGGATGTGTTTCATCCAGCGAATGAGCAAATACTGCTGTTGGTGTGAGTACATCCTGGTAGGAAACTTATCGTAGCTTCAGAGAGAGACATCACTTACACGACCTTTGGGCATATCGTCTTTCTAGTTACGTATTCACATATTCATGTCTTATACTTCAACAATTTTACAACAAAATGTGACTTTCTTTAACAGTCTTTCTTTCAAATTATCTTTTAAATTGGCAAACATCACATGTGTAATTCATGGTACAATTCAAACGGAAAATGATTTGTCTCCATGCTGATTGTTGTGGACTGAATACTCATTTCACATTCTGCAGACACGTCAGATGAGGACAGCATCTCGGCTGCTGTCCAGGCTGTGAACAAGCAGATCGGGGCCGGTGGGTTGAACCTCCTCATCAACAACGCCGCCATTAACAAACCGGGCGTACCGGCACCGCTCTCTGCCAGCGGGAAAAAGGACATGATGGAGGTGTACGAAATCAATGTGGTCGGACCATTTCTCATTGCCAAGGTTGGTTTTGTCTTGCTCCACTCCGTACTTTTAGCCTGAATGTTTTTGTGGCATAACGCTTTGAACTGATGGACATGTAGGCTTCTGACAGAGGGGGAATGATTCAAAGAGTCTGTGTCCAGGGTGGAAGTGGTAAGCCAAGATCTTTCCTGCTCGCCATAGGGTCCTGGGCACTGGTGGAATGTCACACACAGGGTGATGGGGGTGGGTGGGGCTTTGGGTCCTTCTGAAATCCACAACCATCTCCACTGTCGTTAGAGCTTTGAGCACTAAATTGTTTTGTCCGCATCACATCATCAGTGTATCAATCTCCCAACCTGTAGGTGGACTCATCCCCACCAGAGATGAGTCACAGAACAGACACAGGGACGTAGACAGAATCAAATATCAGCATCGCTTGCAACATCTGACCACAAAGGTTGACTGTTAAATATGGAAAAACACTCTCACGCATGTCATCATGTATACAACACTGCTGAGGTGTCACTTCCATCTCAACATGGCGGAGTATGAAAACATAATTTGGGACAAATAGGAGGTCATGGTGGAGTTCGAGGTTTTTTTCTTTAATTTACATACAATTCTTTTACATACTGTAGCAACAGAATGTAAAACAATTCAAGACAAAAAAAAATGAAGACAGGAAAAGATGATGGTCTACCAGCTAGTTGCCAGAACGTCAAAGTTTTAAAAGGAATACACAAAATATACACAAAATATGAAGTAAGTACATGTGTGCATCATAGAAAAGTGAATACATATGGTCTGTAAATTCAATCGGTAAATTCAGGACAAGGCAAAAATATAAGTTGTTTTCTTGTTTTAGCCAATTACATCCAATGAAGAACTTGCTGTTGTGACAGTTTCTTTATTGGATGTAATCCAATCTGTGTTATGCACTTATCTTGGTCCTCTCATGTTGGACTGAGGACAGACTGGATGCTGCAGCGACTCACTATCGCCTCTCCAGGTACAAGTGGTATTACAACACAGGAGCCGGGGATAGCTGGTTAGAATGCTCATTTCTTTAGACATCTCTGCAACACAACACATAGATGTCTTTGACATAACATCATCACTGTGACCTCTGTTTTGATAATGTTAGTGGATTTTTTTTATGTTTTGAACTAAATTTCTGTCCAGATCTTACTGCTTGCACCTTTAACACAAGTAGTTGTATTAGTTACAGCATGACATGCATTGTACTGACACACACACCACATCACCTGCCTCTCTCTTCAGATGCTTCTTCCACTCCTCCAGAGAGCAGCAGAGATGGACTCAACTGTAAAGGACGAGGGTAATGAAGTGGAAACATACGAGACATGCATTATATCACATTGCAAATTACCAGTAATATATTTTTATTCAAATTAAAATGATTATTGTTATTAGCAGTGGTATTAGTATTATCATTCATATGTCATGATGCTAGTCTATTTGTCTCTCAATGTGTCTCAGGTGATAAAATGTCCTGCAGGAGGTCGGCCATCATCAACATCTCCTCGCTCGCCGGATCCATAAAGATATGTCCGGAGAACTTTGCTAGGGCGCAGATGTACCCTTATAGGGCCAGCAAGGTACCGCTCACTATCACAAAATATGAATTCGATTTTTTAAATAAAACAATTAACAATAATAGCACTTTATCCTAACTTGTTTTGTTGTTTTTTAATCTGGAAGATTCTTTTTGTCTTTTTCATGAGATAAGATCATCCCCAAAACCGACCCTAAATTAAAGAGACAGAGTCACAGCTACGGTTCAATTGACCCTATATTAGAACCTTTTCACATATTTACTTTGTGTGCTCTCATTAATGTGAAGGATAACGCTGACATTTGTCTTTTATCAACAAATCTCATGAAAAGAGCAAAACCCAAATCATGTTAGTCCGTCTCTCAAAACCTTCTGACTACCCTACTTTGTCTGTGTCACTCAGCTCCAAGCCCATTGGTTTCTTCTTAAGACATAAATCTTCAAAAAATAAAAAATAAAAAAGAAGCTCAGGAATTTCCAGCGGGGACCAACTGTAGATCCTTGGGGTGGTTAGCAGGGAGGCTACAGTGTAAACATGACAGGCAATCTGTATCTTGGTGTCTGTTGGGAGACCTGATTCAGACCAGACCAGCCTTCAGAAACCTGTACCCTTGTGTAAATTACATTGAAGTATTTAGTGTCATTTTCAACAACAAAGCTTCTGTCTTCTGCTGTTGGTTGCCAGGCAGCACTGAACATGGTGACTCGCTGTCAATCGGAGGACTTCAAGAGACACAACATACTGGTGACAGCGATCCACCCTGGCTGGGTCCGCACTGAGATGGGAGGACAAGAGGTGAGGCAATGGAGAGTTTAATGAGAGGCACTGCACACCTTTGTAATACATTATGATCCTTTCAGCAGGTTTGTATGAACAAAAAAATAAGCACACTTGCTTTGACAAACTACGTCTGTTCTCTGCTTCAGATTCCTTTATGTGAACACGCTTTACTGGTTGAACTGGCCCAACTCTTTACGTGGTGGCTCCCAGTATCAATCAGTAAGTATATTTACTTAAATACTGTAGGCAACTAAAGTACAAGTGTACTCTTACTCCGCAAAATGTATCTGATGCCTGCATTTACTTTAGGGATTCATATTTTAAAAACATTTTTGACAATTTCGGACATAAAAGTCAGTCTTGCCTTCAGTCTTAATCTTGCTAGATAATCTTTGTTGTTTTTAGGAGCATGAAAGTCCCTGCAAGTCCTCTGATTGCCCTCTTAACAACCAGTCATACAAACTTTCTAAAAACTTTATTAAAATTTGTTAGAGTCATCACTATACATTTTTTTTACATATACATGAAATTTGACCTCTGCATTGAACCCATCCCTAGCATATTGGGAGCAGCGGGCTGCTGAGAAGCCCCCGGGGAGCAGTTAGGGGTTTAGTGTCTTGCTTAGGGACACTTCGGCAGAGGACTCATAGCAGGACCCTCGCTCGACCCTCTCTACCCAATGAGCCACGGCCGCCCCAGCCCACTGAAAAGTGGAGTCAGAGAGCAGACAGGGTTAATAAACTGCATTGTTTGCTGTGATGATTCACTTTTTCTCTGTTACGAACTTGGCAAGTATTTCCTGTGACCTAGCACAGTCAACAGTGCTGGGTCACAGTAAAAAAAACACAGCCACCACTACTATAGTACAGAATGTAATGTGCAAAACGTAGAAATGAAAGAACTATATAAACTAGTTAGGGTGTAGTGCACATTCCCTTTGACTTCCCTCTTTTTTGTTTGTTTGTCCCGTCTCCCACAGGCTACTTTATCCACCCAGGATAGCGTGCACGGCATGCTCGCCATGATGTCGTCACTCAGCAACAAAGACTGCGGGATGCTTCTGGACTGGGAGGGCAACACGATCCCCTGGTAGCAGTCGCTGTGTCAACCACTCGAGGGCTTTTTATAATCGTAAAACGTATCCACCCTAGAGCATATTAAAGGCCATATGCATGTTATTGTGTTGAGAGTCATCATTGCCCATACTGGCCATGAAGCCTTCATAGAGTGACTCATGATTTAAATTAGTTATGCTGCTGTTAAACGCAGCCCCCATTTACTTATATTCGCCAAGACTTTTCTTTGTTTTCCATTCACCCATGGAGGCATTCGAGAAAAAACGTTTTCTTCAAGAATTCAAGGTTACACGGGCTGAGAAACTGATATACAAATGGTCATTTTGGGGGGTGAAGTATTCCTTTAAAGTGGGTGTATCCTCCTGCTGAGGTAACTCAGTCAGCACAGAATTGAATGTCACATCTGCGGTCAATCAGAAACCTATATAATTATGATTATGTAAACAGGGAGCTGAATAAATAATTTTAATTTTAATTAAATTTTTAAATTTTTTTAAATTTATTTTATTTTTATTTTATTCATTTTTAATTTATTATACTATATTGATCCCTTTAAGGGGAAATTTGTCTCTGCATTTGAATAATGCACATGTACTGTAAAATGCATGCAATGTAGCTGCTATTTTGAACTACAACTGTTGTGTTTTAAACTGTATGATGTTGTGAACGTGGACGCCAGAAGGAAACGCTATACTGCTCTACACATGCAGCAGTCCAGGCTTTAGACATGCTCCATTCCAGAGAGGATTCGCACAAAAGTCCTCCAGCCTGCACGGGTGCCAGGAAAATCCACTGAGATCAAAATCAATCACCGTTGGAATTTCCTGATGTGGAAAAAGTGTAATGTGCTTTACATCTTAAGGTTTCTTTGGTAAATACCACTCACTAGAGGCCACTTGGGGAAATTACACTATAATCACTAAGCTCCACCGTCACACTCCCTAGTTGTGAGACAAAGTTTTAGTATTTCAGTAATTTCACATAACAGCCTTTGTGCACCTCAACCTTTTGCTAAAATATTCCTAACTTAATTATAATACACTGTAATTTTGTTTTAATATTATGTTTATCTATGTGCTTTTTTGTTTAAAATTTGACATACGTCGATGATGCGTGATTTGAAGTTTGAGCCGTTTGCTCTCTAACTGAAACAGTGATTAAGATCAGTTGGGACACAGACCCCAGCTGCACTTCCATGAACTTCCATTGTATGCAGTATGCTTTCAAGGACATTTTATGGAGATTGCCTCTCTACTATAAACAACGGTTATTGTGGGAAATGTTTCAGTATATAGTATATAACATATAAGATAATGTTCTTTAAGGGTCCTGTGTAGAGTCGCCGTGTTGAGCTAACGTTAGCTCGCTAACGAGTCAGCTTACGAAACCAGAAGTCTCCAGACTACAGTTCGGCGCTGTGAACCTGGAAAGCTAACAAAACTGTAATATTGTGTAAGACTGTATTAGTTTACTCTGTGATTTAGATATTTGTGGATATTGATAGTTTCTACAGTGATGTGTTAACCCCATCTGGTTCTTAACCCATTTAATTTAATTGTCAGGTCATCCAAAAAAAGTCATTGGATGTCGAAAAAGTCATAGAAAAGTTTTTGAAAAGTTTTAAAATGTTTTGACAAAATTCCCAATTTTACTTAATTCGCAATGCTATACTAATATGACTTTCTTTCGACATACTATACTATGACTTTTTTACACTTTCGACATACGCTATGACTCCTTAATGATTTATTTCAACACACTATACATTTTCATATTTTGTTTGGATATGCTATGCTTTGACTTTTTTGGACATACTATACTATCACTTTTTCATGACTTATTTTAACACACTATATTACAACTTTTTAATGATTTTCCGACATACTATACTATAACATTTTACAACATACTATACCAAGATTCTTTACGACAGAATATACTAGACTTTTTTCTATACTAGGTCTTTTTCTATGGCTTTTTTTATCTTTTCGATTGTGTTAATGATTGTTTTTAGGAACATTATGCTATTACTTTTTTGACACACTATTTTATAACTTTTTTGATATACAAAAATGTTACTTTGTCAACTTTTCTTGACAAATTATTCTATGATTTTTTCATAGCTTTTTGATGATTCTTTTTACATTTTTCTATGGCTTTTTAAAAAATTACTTTGCTACACGTATACGTTTTGATACTATACTTTACTATACTAGGGCTAATTATGACTTTTTTTGTCAAACTATAGTTTTTTTGATGACTTTTTTGACATACTATGCTATGGTTTTTTAGGCATAATATAGGAGGGCTTTTTGGAAATACTATGACTTTTTATGATGATTTTGATATGTTTTTTTCTTTTGGGATACTATTCTGCAACTTTTAAAAAACACTATTATATGGCTTTTCTGTGACGTTGTTCAACATATCATACTCTGGCTTTTCTGTGGCTTTTTTGACATACAATACCATGACTTATTATGAGACTATTGTTATGACAGAGTGTCATAAGATTTGATAATGAAAATAAATGCTGTTTACCTCCCTGCCTGAGGGTGGTGCTGTACATTGCGTCTGTGTTTTTGTATCTGTTGAGTTGCAGGTGATTGGATGAGGACTGATTAGGCCCGAGTTAAGAAGGAAACTGTGGAGGCCGGCTCACTCTCTGTCTTTTCTCTCCAGCTCCCAACCAGGCCGCGCTGCACTGCTGAGGGGGTCGCTGATCTTTGGGGGAGGGTACCGGTCGGATTGGCCAAGGGTTAAATGTAGCCTAAAGGCAGTCCTGGTAGTTATAGGGGTGAGAAGCCCTTTTTGTTCACATTGTTTTCTCCTGTCTTTCTGTTAATTCTTTTTTTTTGACAACCTCTCCCACGAGATGTTCTCCAGGTGTCAGCGTGGGTTCTCTCCGGGTTCTTCAACTTCCTCCCACAGTCCAAAGACACGCAGCTCAGGTTAATTGATGGTTCTAAATTGCCCGTAAGTGTGGATGTGAGTGTGAATGGTTGTGTCTCTATTCGCCCAAAGTCAGCAGGATAACAGTTGGATGGATGTTTGATGTGTAGGCCAACAACCAACACCCTCTCCACAGTGGTTTTCTTCTGCACCTTTCACCCCTATGGGTGAGTCAATATATTGATCAAGTATTTTGCTGTATAAAATATTTTTGTTCCGACTATTTGTCATTGAAATCATTAAAAAAACATGATTGTGTTGTTTTCTACCTCAGGTTAGGGATATCTGAAAAACAAATTGTGCCAGTACTCATAACTGTGTTCCCTAACAACCTCTGAAATCATACTTCCACCCGTCAGTCTCAGAGAGAAGAAGAAAAGCATGTTTAATTCCATGTCAGTTTTTAGCCTTTTACACTCCTTTTCTCAAATACATGGCTCATACAAAAAAAACCTGCATAAAGTTTTCCCAGAAAAAAAAGCAACTGAGAGGGCACTGAAATCATCTTTAATAACTGCAGTACTCCAAACGCACAGTTGTGTGGACATCTCTTGGTGCTGCCTGCACCGGAGGATTGAAATCAGTGTGGACGAGCCGCAGGCGGTGAGGTCCTGCGCCGACGCACAGGCGGCACGGCGACCGTCAAAACTGTCGGCTCGTCATCGGGTGACGTT